GGGAACTCAAGGGAACATTAACAGAAATTCAAGGGAACATTACTAACATATTAACAGAGAATTATATGTGACTGAACTAAGAAAAGAAGTTTGACAACACACAGAAGAAGCCCAAGAAGATTAATTGGACATTACTAACAGCTTAATTTACCAGTTTATATATCACTCAGCTTTCTCTTTCTCCCGCTGTCTACCCTTCCCTTTTTTTTCTTTTAAGCGAAATACCTCCCCTTTTTAGGGGAGCTAATAAAATCTTTACAAAAAAAAAAGAAAAAGAAAAAAGAAAGCAAGAAATTGCAAGAGGATAAATAGGTACCACTTCGGTGGGAAGGTAACAGCGTTCCGTGCGCCTTGGTGTTTAGTCATGCCGGCCACATGACCACGGAAACGTTTTCGGACAGCGCTGGCTCTTCGGCTTGGAAACGGAGATGAGTCGGATTCGACTGGCTTTCGAGCAAGGGAACCTTTACCTTTACTTTATTAGGATATAAGGCTATTTTAGTGACAGAATCATAAGCCAATGAGTTGAAGGTAATATTGACCTTAGAATATGCTCTAATACCCATTCCATATGGCCTCAAAATAACTCTGTAACTGGTCAGATTTCAAAAATTTTCTCAGGGGCTTGCAGCACCCAAACCCCCAGCTGTATGGGCTCGTCAGAATCTATTCATAGCCTACATTTTGGCAGCTGGAACCTCGAATCCTTTGTTGAGAAGGGGCCCCCATAACAGTTCAAGCTTCAAGGTCCCAAAAATGTAGGTCTGCCACTGGTGGAGCTTGAGGAGGAGGGCAGGGTTTGGGGCATAAGGCCTTAGCGTCCAATTTCCAAAGTGGCCATTTTCTCCAGGTGAATGGATCTCTGTCACCTGGAGGTCAGTTGTAATAGTGGGAGATCTCCAGCCACCATCTGGAGTTTGGCAACCCTACTTTGGCTGTTTTCACAAGGCGGCAGTTCTCTGTTTAGCTCTGGCTGCTGCAGCAAATTCAGATGCATTGGTAATGGTCGTAGAGTATCCACAGAAGATTTTTTTTTCTCTCCACGTCCTCCTTGACTGAGTCCCCAAAGCCACGGTTCTATCCCACCCTAGGCACCCTAGGCCAGTGGCACCCCCCAGGTGCGCACGGCCCGTTGTGCCCCAGACGTGCCCCAAATCTTTGCAAAGCTGGAGGAGCATAGTGAAGGTAGAGTCTACCTGCTCTCCCTCCCCTCCTTCATGGGGGTGGGATAGGGAGGGCCACCCCCCCCTTGAGCCTCCGTGAAACCAGTGAGAGGTAGAATGGTGGAGCTGGCAGCCACATGCTTTCCTTTCTGAGGTAACCTGGGCAGTTTTGGGGGGGGCGGAGCATCACTTGGGTCTGCTGCTTGCCCAACAAGCATCTTTTGTTGGCCATGACCGCCATGCATGCCAGCCTCCAGGTGGGACCTGGGGATCCCCTGGAATTACAGCTCATCTCCAGACTACAGAGATCTGTTCCCCTGCAGAAAATGGATGCTTTGAAGGGTGGACTTTGTGGCATTGCACACCACTGAGGTCCCTGCCCCTCCCAGGCTCCATCCCCAAATCTCCAGGAGTTTCCCTGCCTGGATCTGGCAACTCTATCCCCCCATCCCCTGCCAGTGGCCCCAGGGGGACCTAGCAACCCTAGACCCCGTCCTACCTTCAGGCAGCCTGGGCAGTTCTCCAAGTCTGTCTAGTGGGTAGGCTGCCCCTGGGTTGGACCCAAGGCGTCTGGGACAGAGCGACTCTAATAGCTCTCCTTTTCAAAATATAAAATATATGTCTTCATGTTGTCACCCACTAGTTGTTTCCCTGATTCAGGTGGCTCACCCAGCAGCCAGGACTATCTGTGACATTTCTATAGTAGCTCCCACAGTACAGAACAGGATGCTCAGGAAGGTAATGAGGATCAAGCCCGTTTTATTCTGAAGGGGCTCAAGCTGCAGGTGTTGTTGTTTTTTTTGCTTTTTGCAAGCAGAGGAAGTGTATGGGGTGCCTGTACTTTTCGTTCTTTAAAATCTGGAAATGGAAGCTACATTGAGGTATAGGGGAAAGGCAGTGTGTAAATATTTTAGAAGTACAAATATTTATTAGGGTGTACGCCGAAGAATAGATTCTTTTGAACTATGGTGCTGGGGAAGACTCTTGAGAGTCCCTTGGACTGCAAGAAGATCAAATCAGTCAATCCTAAAAGAAATCAACCCTGACTGTTCCCTGGAAGGCCAGATAATGAAACTGAAGCTCAAATACTTTGGCCACCAAATGAGAAGGGAGCACTCACTGGAGAAGACCCTGATGCTGGGAAAGATTGAAAGTCAAAGAAGACGGGGACGGCAAAGGTTGAGATGGTTAGACAGTGTCATAGATGCAACGAACATGAAATTGAGCAAACTTCAGAGGACGGCGGAGGACAAGAAGGCCTGGCAGGATCTGGTCCATGGGGTTGCGAAGAGTCGGACTCGACTGTGCGACTGAACAACAACAACACATGTTAAAACATATACTGATAAAAATCTTTAGGTATCAGACTTATAAAAACTTATCAAATACTAATACATATGATGGGTAAACACTTTCCTACTGAAGACCAAACGCAGTCTTCAGTAGGAAAGTGTTTACTCATCATATGTATTAGTATTTGATAAGTTTTTATAAGTCTGATACTTAGATAAAGGTTTTTATCAGTATATGTTTTAATTTGTGTACTGTACACCCTAATAAATATTTGTAGCTCTACAATATACGTTGTTAGCTTAGCCCTTTGGTTCATAGTCTTATCTTGGGTTGAGTTTCTTCCCCCCCCCTCCCCCCCAGTTTTTGTAAATATTTTAGTTCATACAGTGAAAGCTTGCTGTCTGACCTTGGGCTGGTCATTCTGTTTCAACATAACTGA